CATACATTTTGCTGAAAGTATAACGTCGGAGATATACTGTATTGAAGCCAATCAAGAGCAAAAATATCTTAACTCTTGTCAGCAGCAAACCACGTTGTAACACCTTGTGACATCTTTATGTTCTCTGAGGCTCGCTCCTGCAGTTTGTACGTTTCTCTAGGAGTTTATCATTAGTTATCTTCAGACGTTACGTCACTGTCAACAGTACATATTTCACAGCATGCACGTATGCAGCTGAAAAAAGCCCCAATCTCAGCCTGGCAGTTGAACTGACAAACATGTCCCAGCACTCAAAGCTTTCTTCAGGCTCAGAGGTAATCTGTCCTCCTCACTGCTCAGCAACAGCTCTCTTATCTCCTTTCTCATCCATTATCTCCTTATTCCAATGGACCCTCATCCATCAAGGAAACCACAATTAAGCCTGTGGATTCAATTTGTCATTTACCCCCTTAATTTCATTGCCAAAAGAATATGTCTAATTATGACAACAAGAGGATAATTGTAACTAATTTGACACTGGCCAAGATGAGGCAGCCTCTGCTGTATTTTTAAACTGTCAGATTTGGCAGAATAGACACCTCTCCGGGGGAATAGTGATTTTATCCAACAGGTTCTTCATGAAAGAGCTGGTATGTCCTTTAAACAAGAAATAACAAACCATCTAAACAGATGAGAGTTTGGGCAGCTTGATAAGTATTGATTGATTGTAAAAGGTATGCTCAAAGTTGCAGATTAGGCTTTTATTGCTGTTGGAGTACTTCTCGAATAAACTGCATTTACTGCATCAAAGCCACAGGGACGACAAAAAGGTTGCTGTCAATATTCTGACTTAAATGCAATGAAACACAGTTGATATTTTTGTGTTTCTTACTTATTTAACCATTAGATGAAGTGTCACTTCACATGTGTTGTTTTTATTATATTTTGTCCCTTTAAATGAATAAGAAGTTTGAATTTGGAGTGCAAACTGCACATTGGCTTTAAAACACACAGGGCAATAACGGTGTTGCGCAATCAACATATATATTTATAGTGTTTGTGTGTTCACCCTTTGTCCAACGAGATCTCTTCCTGCAGAGCACAACTTGCAGCTGATGTGCTGCTAAAATGACTGTAATTTGTGAAAGTAAAAATATCAGTGTCTGTTAATTATAACTAGCAGATGTTGAATCTTACTGTATGTAGGAACATATATTTCACCCTTCATGAAGATGAAACAAAGCGTATCTACAAGTGACAGCAGTCCAGTACTGAATGTTTTGCAAGTTCCAAATAATTCTGCTGAAACACTTATTTTTACACACTCCAATTTTACTTTTGTTCAGCATTGATAAACATAGATGGCAGCATTGTTTGAATAAAAACACAAAGGCCAAGGTGTGTGTATAAACATATCTAACACAATGTCAGACACAAGTGTACCTCACTATCCCTTATAGCATTACACCCACTCTTGTGTGCATGGCACAAATTCAATCAAGGAAACGAGGGTGGAAGGGGGAACTATTCTGAGCCTACAACAATTTAATTTGTATTTTTTCATTCCAGGGATGGGAGCCCAAGTGCTACTCCAGCACCAACACCATCCCTGCAAGCACCTACAATTTTCCAGATTAGCACTCCTATTGTACCTCTGGCATGTTCCAGAGACATGGCACAGCAACACACCAGCACATCCCCCGCTCCTCACCTTCTTTGTTGCAACCACTCCCTGTCTCCCCAATCTTATTAAGCTAATTAGCTCTTTCCACGTCAAACAATTTCATTCCGTTTAATTGTGTTGCCTTTGTCCTCCCAGACTCGTTCTTTAAACAGGTTTACGGTAAACTTAAAACCAGAACCCTTGCTCTGGGCCAACATGTATGCCGTAAGCAAGAGAGATGAGCTTTCGTTCAAACTGTCTCTCTCGAAAGAAAGAAGTGTCTGTATGAAACCAAAAATTATTCTGTTTCCATGGCAATATGGTCTTAGTTAAGCTTCAAGTAGCAAGAGTGTTTTAGAATTTAGTTTTTCTCATGCAAGGGAACAAGCAGACAGGCTGGCTGAACATTTTGAACCTCTTACCCGATATGTTTTTTCACCTAATTTATAGTAGCTGCTATAAGAGGACGTAAGCTTTTTCCTGCTAGTGTTATTATATTATATTTTACACAGACATCATTTATAAATGTATTAGATATTATACATTTCATGTTTTTACAGTGTAAATTCAAATGACAATAACTATGGAATTAAGGTAAAGGGTTGATTTGTATATGGTATAGCATTTTAAATGAAATAATCCGGTATTCACTATCAGATAATACAATCCTCGGCTCCTACCCCTTCACCTCTTGAAGTGAAGATTTCGGGAAATTCAATTATAATTACATTTGGCTACACAAACCACAACAATTTCAACTGCCTACAAACACTGAAGAAAAAACACTCGGTAGTGTGTAAATGTGACCCTCACCGAGACGGCTGGGACTACGTCCAACTTTTACAGATACTTGGAAAACCTTACAATTTATATTACAATGTTTTATATTAAGATCTTCCTAATTTACTGTTTTTAAAATAATCAGTTTTTGAATAAATATTATGAAGTTGAATGTATATCTTACTGTTTGTATGTCTATGTAGTGTTGGAATCACAGTAGTCTGGTTCCGGTCTTGATTCGGTTTCACCCTGCCTTGTTCTTGGTCTTGACTCGGTCTCGCCCTCTTCAAGTCTTGGTCTTGTCTTGGTCATGGTACACTCTGGTCTTGGTCGTACCTTGGTCTCGGTTAAGGTGGTCTACACCTCTAGCAGCATTGCAAAACAAACACAGAGGTTATAAAACACATTGACACAAAGCTAGTAAAATTGCTTAGATTTGCAAGGCAAAGCTCTTTGTCGAATGAGCTTTCATTCTAAATGGGACTCAACATCGATTTTTTAAACCTTCCTCTTGGTACATATTTTACCATTTAATGAGTACCTGTAACACACTTCTATTTTAAAACATATCCTGTTCTCTAATCTTTTTGTGACAGTTTTCTTTTCACTGAATTACAAACACTTTTGATGTCATATAAGGCGGACAACACATTATTCATACAAATTATAACTAAGTATTTCTCTGTCCTTAGGTTCCTGAATGTCCTGCTCTCTTCTGCGGGCCCAACAGTCCACCCACCCCCCCCTCCCTCTCACACAGCTTGGACCTTGTCAATCTTCATCCAAGATGCCCCACACAACCATCTATTCCAACCCGTCAGACCTTTCTGCAAGATGGAATAATATACACACTTTGGCGATCAGCTCAGAATCCAGCCTACATTGAGGGGGTACTGTTGGGAAAATACTGAATGTACTCTTCCAATATCAGAGTAGCACATGATAACAAAGGCCCAACTATAGATGTGTACGTAACAGGATGTATGATTACCTAGAAGAGCGTCAGGACACACTGTTTTAGGCATATGATTGTGACAACGATTAACATGATGATTCAGCCTCCATGGAGATAGACATATGCATGATCATTTCTGACGTGGGCCTTGGCTAATCTAAAGAAAACATTGTATACTGCTTTTAACCGGTATTCCTGCATCTTGTGACTGTGTAACACCTTCTCTTGTATAGCATCTGAAGGACACTGTTCAGGGAACTGGTTGTACCATATGCTCTGTATGTGATGACTACTTCCATTCTTGCAAGGATTAATAAATACATGTATCCTGTTATTGAAGCTCAAGCAGGTGACGAGTGATATTTTTCTAACAGGTACTATTAGCAGTTAATAAAGAAATGGGAAAAGGAACCTGGTACAAATGTGAGTTGAGTCCAGGAGAGCCGTACCATGCAGCCTAAATGTGGAAAAGTGGCCAACAATTTGATGAGAATGATGGATAACTGTTCAGCAGTAAATACCCTCACTTGATTCACCCTGACCCTGGTTTAGAAAGTCAGTGTTAAGAATGAGAAACTTTTCACAAGTAGTTGATGAAAAAGCTGTCTAAATGTTTCCCAAAACATTAGTCACATCATCCTAAAGCCTAAAAACGATAACTGCAATGTTTCTTTTTTTTCCTTTCATTTTTCTGTACTCAACACGTTTACACTCAACAACATCCTCCCTCAGCTAAACCAATAGAGCACCTAAAGAACAAAGGCACCCTAGCCACACATCCCTGACCAACCATTGATCCTTGAGTCTAAATTCCGGATCCTGCCTTTTCTTTTAACAACCTACGGGGCAAAACCCCCTTGAAGGATTAAAATAAGGCAGAGAGGGAAACAAGGAAGGGACGGAAGGAAGGATGAGCCCCTGGTAATGGGTGCTGGAGCGCCATCCGACAGAAGCCACATTGTCAATAGGGTGTGAAATTCTTGCTTGGATGGGACCTCCGTCTGGTAAATAGCTGAAGCAACAGAGGGGGGGGAGGAAACGCGTCAGCCTGTCTGCCTACACTGGTCCCATGAGCCTTCACATCATGCCCAGAGAGAGAGAAGAGTTTATCTGTGGTTGCCGATGCCCAACCAATCTCCCCACTGACCTCTGTTGGAAACCAGTGGGGAGGTTGTCATAAAGGCCAACAAAACAGTAGACGAGAGGCCTTGTTGCAGCGGTGTGTGGCCTGGGCTGAAATAACTTGGAGAGTACATCATAAAACAACACCACCCGTTGGGACCAGAGGCCACGAATGAAGAAAATGCAACGCGTAAATTAACCCAATAACTCACAGAATTCTAACACGTCTAATAATAAGCATATCACTGTCATTTCTAGTTTTAAGTAATGTGAGGAAATACTTTTGAGGAAAACATTAAGAGAATAATAGACTCAGCTGTCAACTCATCGGCACAGCTCTCACTGCAATATGGCTTCAAAGCAGCCTGAATACTTACATATTGCCCCCATTACACAAATAAATGAACATGTAAGACTTTTGATAAGAGAAGGAACAACATCGCTGGATTCAGTCTCTCAGATGTGAACGAGGTAGATTGATACAAAAGTGACACGGAGAACAAAGATCTTGAATCAAAAAGTTTAATTAGGTTAAGAAATGACCTGTTTCCATCTTAGCAAGGACCTCGACCTTTATTGGACTGCATGGGGTCGCACTGCTCTACATCGCCTCACCTCAAACTTTGTGACACATTTTCTCAAATAACATCCTATTAATTAGTTGAGTGCATTGCTCTGTTCAGAGGTGGGACAGTTCCTAGCCTGGAGCTGGCCACCCCGTCTCAGGTGGTTAGACACATGCAAATCTGTTTGTTTCATCAAGTGTGAATTCAATTTGCGAGGTTCTTTTTAATCTAGAGCACCTTTGCCCCTAGCACATAGGAGGAGACCACAAAGCTCCTGTTTTGCAGAAGTTTTGATGAAAAAGAGTAAAAGGAAGGGCAAAAGGATATGAAGAGGCAACAAAGAGAGGTAATGAAAGGCAAATGTGGGCTGTTGTTTGGGAGGGAGAAAGACTCAAGATCCTGTAACCTTGGCGATTCTATATACAATTGTTGCCTGGATTTCTTTTTCAACCATCCATACCCATCGGAAACTCCTAAACATTTTCATATAAGAATAGTAAAAAATGGGCAAGATAAAAATGACAAACACTGACAGATACAGTAGTACTGGATGGAGACAGGGGAAAAGAGATGAAAACAAAAGACTGACGTTTTCGGTATTTCTGTACCCATGCTCGCTGTTTGTAGTCTGTTTTGTCAGGGTGTTTCTCATGCTTGTCTGTAGAATATGTTCTGTTTTCCCCAGTGGATGCAGCCAGTTGAGAAAACAGGGATTTGCTACAAAGGAAGACCACCACTTTTGTGCTGGAGTCTGCAGAGGAGGGTATCGCAGTTCCCTCGTGAAAAGTTTCCTGAAAGCATGAGAGGAGAAGTGTGCCTGATTTGTTCACTGAGTCGTGAAAGAATACTCACATACATCCAAAGCCAAATACTAGAGCATGCACACACACAGACACGCACACACAAACAGACAAAGAAATCCCTACTTTGATCTATGATCTCACACACCAAACACGGATTGTTACACACACCCACTCAAGCCAGGACTTTGTATTCATCCAGTCAAGTGAAGACAAACTGCTGTCACCACATATGCATACACACGTAAATAATCAAAACAACACAGACTCTAACTCGTATTCCAAACTGGTGATTGTGGTGATTAAGGGAAATGGAATGTGTTTTTGAGTCGTAAAGGAGACACCTTACTTTCTACCCATGATGCGTCATCCAGGTCTGATTGGGTGTAGGCCAGGATGTGTCAGTGTTCAACGATGACAGACAGCCAACGTTGGTCCTACACTGTCAATGTCGAAGCATGCGGTGACACGACACAGTCTGTTATCACATGAATGTGAATCAGCCCTCGAAGCAATGGACCACAAATCCAGTCAGCGAAAGCAACAAGACAACGTTTTCCATTTTAGGAAGAAGTTAGGAGGGATGAGTAAAAGGCCCCCCAGGCCAAATGGAGCTGTTGTTTTTGTATCTGTATGTCTGCGGCGGGAAGCAGTTTTGTCATAAGAATGATAACATTGTGTGAGACATTGTGGGTGTGCAAAATGATATCATAGCTTTTCACTTGTTATCTTAAACTGTAATATGGCTGTTATACTCACTCTCAGTTGGATTCTTGTTTTGTTGCTTTTGGCAAATAACCAAGAATAATAATATTTCAGACATTTCTTTCTGTTTATAAATAGAACAGAGTCAGTAGTCTGCGTGGCAAGTGTCACCATAAACAACACGAGTGGCAATTATAATTGTTATCACAAACAGTATATTATCCATTCAAGATGACCAGTTGTTCAGTTTAGAGATTTCAACTTTTAATTTAGTCAAACTGTAGTTTTTACAGTTTGTGTATCTTTGGATACCTCATCCTCCAGTGAGCAGTTATCTGCTCTGAAGCTCAGTCAACATTTTTACTTTTTCAATGGATATTCTGTGTGATGACCCCAATTCTTCTTTTGCAGATTAACAGTGTGAAGGTTTGGGCTCTGGTTTAGCTCTGTATGGATAACTGTTCTCATGACAAATCGCAGCAGCCCTCAGGGACGAGGACAGACAGTCTTGACACACACCACACCGCCGTACTGCAGCACCTCAGAGGCTCGCAGTAATCCTACCGTATACCATTACACTTTATATAGACTAAACACAAGACCAGGTGAGGGAATGACATAGTGTAAAGAGTATGTGGGTGTGTGAGTGCATAGTGTGCGTGTACCTAAGCATGCATTTTTTTTAGTTGTGTCAAAGTGTGTATATATGCGTGTGTGGGCCTGCTGGCTTGTCACACCCCGTGTCTCCACTCCCGCTATGTGTGCGTGCAAGCATGCTTGTGTGTATGTCTGCATAATGCAGAACAGCCTTGCCTGCTACCCCAACTTGAAAAAAAAAAGTCACACAGCCAGGAGGCCACTTTGAAATACCAGGTGCTCATTTGGCAAATCCAGGCAACTGGGGTGTTTACATTTCAGCGACTGAGAAGGGAAAAAGTCCAGATGCCCCCTGAGCTGCTCAGCAGCGTCCATACAGAGATCACTCACATCACCATGGGTGACAGACCTGTGTGTGTGGGGGGGTCTGGTCATAAAGAGAGTGCTGGAAAAAGTCACCAAACACCATATGATGACTTGCAGCAGGAGACATGACACTATGCAACAATGCTGAAAATAAGCCACCTTGGGTAAGATTGTTTGTTTTGAGCGACACCAATTCTCTTTCCCTCTACACACTCACGCCCTCTGTTTCTCTTTCCCTCTTATTACGCTGTTCTCCTGCTCTCTGGCTCTTGAATAGCTCTATTGTCCTCTGCCAACTGTTTGCAAACAGCTCAAGTACTTCCTTATCAGTTAAAAAAACAATGAGGCATGAATGAGAGTATGTCATGTGGGGGTTTTGTGAATGGCAAAGCAATAGACCTCAACAAACCACGTGCACACACACAGTCATGCACTTTAAATGCAACCACAGAGCACCTTGTCCCAGCCGGCGTTGCAGACTATTTTATTCTTTCATTATGTCTACTATCAATTTACCGACAGTAAATTCACTCTGTCGTGATAAAACATAGCCTGTCAAATTTCTTCACAACACCTGCTCATAACAAATCACTGAGGCTCTCTTTATGACTGATTGCTTCTTGGCAGAGCATTTTGTGTTGTCTGTTTGTATCAGCGGCAGGCATAAGGCAGCTGACTGGTGGATTTGGGTTGTGTGTGGGTAGGTGCTGGCAGTGTGACTGTTTCTTGCGTATATCTGTCCCATAAAGATGGGTGGAGCTGCTTAGGAGGGAAATTTATAACTGGTCTCTGTGTCTGTGCATGTGTGCATTCAAGCATGCATACTTAGCGAACATTGCAATGTTGAATATATCTTTACAAGAGGGACTCCACCCATGTAAATATAGCACCAAATTATATTGATATTTTTCCATTTGTGCTTCCTGCTTGCTTTGTAAAATCCGAGACTGCTATCGGCCCCATACGTTTTCCAAACATTTGGAGATTGGAAAGTGGTTTAACTTGGCGACCTCCTGCGTGTTGCTGTCCGTCAAATGCTTGTCGGGTACAGTCATGTGTTTGTGTGCATGTGAGTGTGCGTGTGTGTGTGGGTGTGTGTGTGTGTGTGTGTGTGTGTGTGTGTGTGTGTGTGTGTGTGTGTGTGTGTGTGTGTGTGTGTGTGTACCTCACAACTGCATGCATGAATTCCTTCTGCCATGTGCATACTGTGCATGCTTGTCTGTGCATGGGTGCATATTATTGAATTACATACCAAAAAATCGTCTCTGCCAGGAATCTTTCTCTTGTTCTGCCAGTCAGTTGCCACAGCATGCATGAGTAGAGAAAGTGAGAGCACAACTTACTATTCCATTATTCCAAACCTCATATTTAAACCCACTCAACCAGCTGTTGTTTTCATTCAACTTTTAACTGTGTGAACCAAGGATATAATAGAGTATGACACGCGACAGTAAAAACGTAATACAAAAAATCTGAAATCATTTAAAAAGTCTACTAAAATGAAACAACTGATGTGACCAACTGCCAATAGGTTCAAATAAGTTTCAGTCAACAAAACAAGTTTCCTGAAAGTCGTCTGTAGTCAGTCCATGATTATTGGTTATAGTTTTGCCTCTTCCGATACCAGACTAAATAGGATAGTAATTATGTGTGAAACAAGCTTCCTATAGCAGTATAACTTGTTGTGACTCATAAGTAGAGGAATTATTATGAGTTGCAGCCTAGCTACCACAAATGTTGGTGATGTAATCATGTGTAAGTGCATGAACAAGTCAGAGCCCTGAGGCCAAACAATAAAGTTGCCATGCTTTGTCTGTTGGAGGCCGGGTCAACAGTGAAACTGCAGGGTGGTTGTGAGTAGTTGTTTCATCTATGGCTAGACTTGTATGTAGGGTACTCATCTAGGCAATAGTTACGCAAAAGCACAGAAAAAAGCAGTACAGTCATATGAACATTGAAGTGTGCTGTATTTGCAAGGACGAAAGATGGACCGACAATCCTGTCTTCAGATAGTAGAAATTGCATTTTAATTCACTCCTGCCGACTCTTCCTTTTTGTGTGTATGTGCATGTGGCATACAGTCTCTAATACTGTTTTATGTTGTATCATCATCACACATATATAATCGTATAAGTATCTCTTATTTCCCAGGTTTTGGGAAATCTGTCTGCTATTTCCACCTCTACCTCAATACTAGACTGACAAATTAAATGTTCTTTGTAGGACTTTGTAGAATACAATTACCGCACTTTAAAAACTGTTCTGGATATTATGGGTAATCCACAGAATATGATGTCAACAGTTGCATTGACCATTTTCTAATTAATTTGTAAAATATTATGTTTCAATACTGATATGACTAAACACATCCCATACACCTTTATTACACTTGGACATAAAACTTAAAGTCTGGACAAATAAACCAAAGTATCCACATGATGAATAAAGATGTTCTTTTGTGTGTGCATTATTTAGATGAACCAACCTTAAATAGTATATACATGCATTGATCCTTCCAAAACTAGGCAGCAAAAACCTAGCACTGTGATCAATGTAATGCCTTTTATTGAACAATAAACTCTTACCTTCCCGTAATGGGGTACATTTCCTCATCCTTGTGGCAGTCCTGGCATGGTCCTGCTCTGGTTCGTTGCTTTACCTGCCAACTAGTGCCCAGGGAGAATCATCTGGTGTGGATAAAGAAGCTAAACGGGACAAACACATACGCAATGCCATGCCAAAGTAAAAAGTACTTTGATTACATTACACATAATGGTAATAAGGACATAGCGAGCACCCACACTGAGGTAATAAGGGCCTGGCATACACATTTACAAACTAAAAGACAAACACACTGAATCAGTAAAGTCTTGCACCATCTTTCAAGGAGTCTGAGCTGTCTCACAATATGCCAAAAAGCCATGAGGCCAAGCAAAAGACCAGCTAATCTAATGACCAGCTCACACCCTGTAGCACTTCCACCTCTGTAAAACAATCTACTTTAATTAAGATGCATTTATTCAGATTTCAGATGATTCAGCAGTTTCCTCTTGCCCATGAAGGCAGTGTCACTAGAAATACTACAGGAGGCATTAACTCAAATATGTGGAGGACATTTGCTATATGGTGTCCAGATTTAAGGGTGTTGGCGGTTGAGGTTATCTGCTTCCCATTACAAAGCTTTTTGGTCATAGTATGTTGTATACGAGTGGTTTGGTCATGCAGAGAGAGAGAGAAAGACCGGATGGGAGCACTGTTGAATGGTAGCGATTGTTAAACTGGAACCATGTGCGTTAGTGGTTAGAAACGTTGTCATGACTAACTACCTCTGGGAGAGCCTGAATCAAGCTGGACACTGAGGGGGAAGAAAATCCCTTTTCACCTGACAGCAACTGGACAGGGATGATTTGTTGTGATTTGATGCTTATAAAATGTATGACGCCAAATGTATTGACCTCTGCTTCAGTCAAAGTCAAGTAATTCTTCTAGATGAGATATGAGCATTGCAGTGGCTCAGTATCACAGATTTTGATGTTCTTTCAAATTGCAGAACATTCCTCTAGGCCTATTTAATAAGGTAATTTGCTGGCTTGTTGTTTATGGTCACCTCCAATGACCTACAGTAGAAAGCATCTGCCACCATTCGCCACTGTTGGCAACCCTCAGGGTCACAGAATGCATGGAAGACTGCGTTTTGCAGCTGGACATGTCGAAAGGTTGAGGGTCAACAGGGGGTTTTGGGGTATGGAGGAAGAACGTGGCCATGAGGGAGACACTATGTTGACATTGTGTTTGGACACTTTGAACATTGTTATCTCAGACAGTGTGGGGCTCTGGGCCAATCAATCATTCTGTTATTGGACCAGCACCGGTGATTATTCATTCTGGACCTTTGATATCGACTGTTGTCAAATGGTTCCTCCATGAGCTTTCCTCTTTCCTCTCCGTCTGGACCTTGTAAATTTGTTATGGCTTTATTTTCTTCAAAAATATTTAGTCATAAAAGTAAATTTAGTGTTCTTTTTTAAGGTCCAACTTGAAAGTAATCCAGTGTTGTGATGGAAACGTCCAGAATATTTATGAATGCGAAGCAATTATTTTGGCACGAGTTAAACTTAGATATTTCAAGCTCAGCCATGGTTGTAAAGAGACAGTATATCAATCTGGTATGTACAGGCAGGCGTACCTCGGTAGCAGAGGGGTAGCAGGTCACACATTTGGAAGGCCATGCATTTACAATGGCAATGATGGTAGTAACACACCGGATTTTTCCATTGAGTTAATGGGAAAATCTCTGAAGCATAAAGTAGTGTTTCTGCTGGCCAATGTACTTGCCTTGACCTCCTTCCATATACTCTGCCACTCAGGCCAGACAAAATACTGTAATACAGAGAAAGGAGGAGGCAAAGGGCAAGCAGAGAAAAACAGGTTTGAGAAATGGAGGGGGTTGAGAGAGGTGTATGGACTAATGTGTGTTTGTTTTGTACATGACTTTAAGCAAGTGCTTTTGAAGTACCATCGTTAAATATGTCATGTTTTAATACCAGAACTATTACTTCTTCGAATGATTATTTTTTACATTAAATGATTTGCTGAGTTAAAGATGTTTCAGATAATTCAATTGAATTCAAGCAACAATGGAGTGGGACTTTGAATATCAATTGTTATACTTTCTTTTATAGGTCAAATTGATGATACACCCTGTAGCCAGTTCAGCCTGTGTTTTCGATAGAAAATGAAACTATAAAACTTGCCCTGATTATGAGTGTGGACACTGTATCTGCCAAAATGGACATTCAAATTGAAAGTCTGCTTATTCAGTTACAGAAAGTGGAGCAACAGTTAAGGTTGGGCAAGAGAAACATTGGTTTAGGTTTAGGAGGCTTTTGTTTTGGCCTAAAAATCATCATTTACTGTTACAAGTTTCATCTGAAGCCAGGAACTGAATCCCAGACTTGGAAACAAATGCAATGGCTCAACACGACCTCAACATCAATACCTGCATATCCACCACATGCATACCCTGTCATGGTGCTGAAAGGTTATTTCCCACTTTTTTCTCCACACAGCGTGTAATTTGCATGCTCAGGCTATTTGTCAGCATTTGTGTGCTGCTGTGACAGCGTGATCCTCCTACGTGTATGACTGCGTCTATCTATGACTGCTCGTCTGTCTAAATGCCTGCATGTCCGTCTGTCTGTCGGCATAAAGACACTGGGGGTCGGGGTGATGGGATGTTGAGTCATAAATCCTCAGTCACCTGAGTCAGTGAAATATTTAGATAGAGAAGGTGCTGAAAGGTTATAGATACCCGCTAGACGGACAGTAGCTTGTTGTGGCAGAAGTTCGGGTGATGGTGGTTTTCAAGGGAGGAGAGGAGAGGGGGGG